CCGTTTACCGCTTGTCGCTATCTTGCTTCGTTCTCGAGATCTCAGGGGGGGGGCCGAATCGGCCCCCCCCCCCCCGCCAGTTTCTTGTCCCGGCGGAGCCCGCCAGGAATAGGGTTAAGCTTCAGAGCATCACTGACAAGTGGCATCCATGTCTTACGGTTTTCGAAATATCTCGAATTTCGGCTTTGCCCCAACTCCGGCATTGCCCCAACTTCCCCTACCAGTGCGTGTTGCAGAAACGGAGAAACGGATTTGCATATCCGAATAATAGACGCCTCGTCTCGCAGTCAGCGCGGCGGTGTAACATCGACTGTGTGGTGCGTGTCACTATTTGTCTGCGCGCTGATTGGTGGACGGCTGATGACAACCGACCTGCCCAATGAGCGGCCCCCGCCCGGGGCGCGGTCACGTGATTGGCCACGCCTGGGCGTGGGCTATGTGGAAGCCGAGTTGAATTCAAACTGCAGAACGGGTCGGTACTCGGTAGTAAATAAAATGTAAAAAGTTTGGGCGGATGGATGGATCCAGAAGCAGAAGGACGCATTGTTTTGCACTCTTCAGGTCAGTTGTTGAACATGGTTTGGTCTACTCCGCCGTATGATTACCAATTGTTCCCATACCTATTTTAAAATCCACTTGTATTTTGTTTCCATATGCGATACATTGCCCCCAATTCAATTTTTCCTTACGAAGTTTATAACTTTTCTATGCATGCGAGCAAAATGGTACGCATGGAAGTTGATGTAAATTTCATATAGGTAATGCAATCATTTGTCAAATGGGTACCGCAAGTAATTGGAAGCCACACGGTTTCTTGCAATATTTGCGCAAATATTTTTAGATACCCTTGCACGGGCCACCGTCTTCAATATGGAAAAGTACCTACCAAAATTATTAATTAACGTCATTTTCATGATCTATTTATGTTTTAAACACATTGCCGAAAACAATTTGTGTTCACTACAGCCGTTCAGTAAAAACAACACGCTCCCAAAATGACTGATGATCAGCGGTGGTAGGCGTGTCATTGACAGTCACGTTCTGTGTTTCTCTGCTCTCCCTCTCCCCCGTCTGTTTCTCCCTCTTCCCCCACCCCGAACACGAACAGGCAATTAGTCGTCTGACAGTCGCCGCCAATGACGTGAGCTATGCCGGCCGCACCGCGTCTCGAGTTTCAGCGGGAGGCACAGGCGGCGCACGCGTCCAAAATAAACGGAAAATGCTTACATACGGGGTATGGAGCGGTGCCGTAATACTTGGATAACGCTGTGAGGCTGAGGAGAAGTTCTGCACTGTGCTGATGGCGATAATTGCACGGGAACACGGCACGCTTCAAATCGGGGATTGATGCACACCTTGGGAAATGCAAACCTTGTCCAGTGCAAGAACACATACGCTGCTACATATATTTGTGTCATCGATCGTCAGTTAACTTTTCAGGATATGCGAAACACCTCAGGAAATTTGTGCTAAAATGCTAGTCAGCATTGCGTTGACTCTTACACTTATCACACGATGTATCACGTAATGGCAAATAGTGTCCTCAGTCCCGTATTATCCTATCAGATAAGATTCTGCTTCCGTATCCCACGCATTTGGTGACGATGTGTGGGGCCACAACAGTTCAAGGAAACCCGACAGTTTTTTAACGCGCTGGATAAAACGATGATGAAAATTGAAACTTCCGGGATAGACTACTTAGTACGCTTGTGATATATAGAATACAGGAAGTGTTTATCGAAGAACATTCAATTAGAAATATGCTCTGGTGTGGTGCAGCAGATATCTTATACTCATTTAACAAAGGAAAATATTTATCATTTACAACCGTCCAGATAACATGATTTTATGCCGTTATGGTGTAGTCACTATCTAATAAGCGTACCAACTACAATCGGACCGAAACGCCTCAAAACTTGGCCAAAAATGCCAAGTGATACACATGTGTTTCCGTTAAAAATATTCCCAAGACTGTCTCGTAGCACCTTATATAATCTCTTATCTCCGTTGATGACTGAGTGATATAAAGGAGGGTGCCGCCGCCGGAGCCGCACTGTGCCCTCTGCTCCCGCTCCAACAGGTTCACGTTCACCATGCTGTCCACCCTGCTGACCGTCTGCGGCCTGGTGGCCTCCGGGATGGCCGCCTGCCCCGACATCCCCTCCCTGGAGGTGTTCGACGCTGCGCAGGTGAGCGACCGTGAAGCAGGTGCAAACTGCAAATGAATTTTGACAATAGTTTGAATGAGCATTCGTACAGTATGCCAAGTCAGCGCTGAGCCTGTTCAATTAAGCTGATATTGAAACTGGATGCTGCTGAAGTGCCTTACAAGAAATGTTTTTAGCAGTAAAAATTCGTCTAATTTCAGTGCAATGTGCATTTGTTCTCTGTTTTAGTACGTCGGCCAGTGGTACGAGATCCAGAAGTACCCTCTGATCGGTGAGCTGGGCGAGACCTGCGTCCAGGCCAACTACACTGCTCAGGCTGACGGCTCCGTGCGCCTGGAAAACCGCGGCAAGAAGCCCGACGGCTCCATCGACTCAATCCAGGGCACGGCGCGCGCCGAGGACCCCGAGCACCCCGCCTCGCTCAGCGTCTACTTTGACGAGGGCTTCCGCGGCGAGTACAACGTGATCCGTACCGACTACACCGCCTCGGCGCTGGTCTACGCCTGCACGCCTCTGGGAGACATCAGCCTGGAGTACGTCTGGTTCCTGTCCCGTGAGGCCACCATGGACCAGGCGGTGCAGGACGAGTACATCCAGATCCTGACCGACGCCGGGTCGGATATCAGCCAACTGGAGGAGACGCCGCAGGACTGCGACAGCCTCTTCTGAGCTGTCCGAGGGAATAGAGGGGGATTTTAACCACCGGATGATATAAAGGAAGGTATGCCGGGCATGACATCTTGATGCCAGTTATCTGACCTGTGTTTCCTGTCGAACAGGGCTGGAGAGTTTGTTTTGTATTCTGACTTACTATCATTGTGCGTGCAACATGTGATACACGTGATAAATATATGCTGATCTGCTATGTGCCTGTTTAAGGTGTTTGTCGACGAAAAACAACCATCCACGAACAGGCACCAAGGAAAAGTGAGAATCGGAAAAAGAGGGCGAGTTATGGCTGGCAGTTCGGTACTCGCGGCAACATTGTAAAACTAGGCGAATCAAATGTATGAAGACGGTAAAAGTGTAGAATTGCTACCTTCCATTAAAGCAAGCACTTGGTATATAAGCTAACTTGTGGCATTTTCTATTTTCTATACCTATAACGCGAGTGACTGAAGGGAGGGGTTCTATGAAACCACTCATCTCATCGCCAACGAAACTATTAGATTTTTTTTAATTGAAACAGCGCGTAATGGTCCCGGAAAATTGTCTTGCAACTTTAAATTTTGCTGGTCTCGAGTACACTGATGGCGTCACAGGTCAGGTCAAAGCATCTATTATAAGCATTCGGGCATCCTCACAGTTCGACCCTGGAGGCCGCTAACAGAATCACCTTGAGCTAAAATTTGGTATCCTTTCCGACCGGCCCACGGTAGGTAGGTACGGAATTTCCTTTTGCTGCAACTTGTCAAATTGATAAAGCCCAAGGCATGGACATTAGACAGTTTCGCGTCAATACATTATTGGCTTTGAAGAAATTGCAGATGCAGGAAAAGAGGCTGGGGCTGCAGGGAGACTCACTCAAATCATGCACGGTTTGACGCACCGGCCATGCGCTTTGAAGGAATACTGTACCTATGAGTGACGTTGGACGAAGACATTTCCATTTTCCTCCATGCAGCATGTCCTCTGTGCCAGTACTGCCATGTGCACAAATATAAGTATGCAAGCCCTGAAGAGATCCTGTTGGGTTTTATCGCGTGCAGAACCCAACACTTCATGTACATATGTGTATACATATATGTATATGTATATGTGTGTACTTCATATATGTATAGGGGTATCTTTTCAAGCACAACCGTTTTCAAGCATGTTCATTTCAACCTGTCGCAAGGACAATCACGTGGATTTACGTTCAATGAAACCGGTTCGCTATTCAAAGGCTCAAACCAACCAAGAAGGTACCGATATTTTTTTTTAATCCAGCGCAACAATGCATCATAATAAGTAAACATGAGGTGAAGTGGACTTTTCATGAATACCAACGAATATCACGCTACTCTTTTAATCACGTCCCCTAATTTTGACCTTGCCTGACCTCCTCAGCCTGATTTTGATGTTAAGTTGGACTAATATTTCCATGGTCGATAATTGAAATGCAAAATTGACTAAAAGCGATATGTCACACCCCCAATATATGCTTATAGCTTTTAGGCCTCTTAAATCCAACCCTTGTGACCTGACTTGACGTTATTGAAGAAATTAACTATACCTAAAACGTGGTGGAGCAAAAATATGTAGCTACATAGAAAAAAATGACGTACATATACCTTGCGTCAGGTGACAAACACACATGTCTGTAGTGTTGAAAAAGGTCGCAACTCTGTGACATCATCCGATCCGTAGCACTGAATTCAATGATTTTTTTTTCTTATTCTTGCGATGGGGACATCATATTGCCGTTTGAGCTATGAAAATCAGCGGCTCCATAATTTTGGAGATAGCACTTGAGACCTCCACCGGCCTTACGGCGGGCCAAGTCCAGCACAGCCCTGATGAGGGGCGCGGGCTAGCATTTGACAATGCAGTGTCGTCCTGAGGTGTTTCACATGGGTCCCATGACACAGCCTTGAACCATCATGTGTATACCATGGACAGAAGAAGGATAAACTCGGCCTCAGCATTGAAGCGTTCTTTCTAGTTTGTACTGATGATGCTGAGCATCGGACAGAATGCGTTTGTCATGCGCAATGCACATTCTCTTTGTTTATATAACTGGGGCAATTGAAAATGTTCCACAGCTCTGTTTGCTGTTTCTTATATAACATCATATCTTTGTTAGCACATACCTGAGCCGTATAAAGGAGGGTGCCGCCGCCGGAGCCGCACTGCGCCCTCTGCTCCCGCTCCAACAGGTTCACGTTCACCATGCTGTCCACCCTGCTGACCGTCTGTGGCCTGGTGGCCTCCGGGATGGCCGCCTGCCCTGACATCCCCGCCTTAGACGTGTTCGATGCTGCACAGGTGAGCGACTGTGAGATAGCACGAGGCTGTACTCTGTTATCTTTGGACTGTGATCTAAGTATGCAATCATGCTATAACTAGATAAGTTGAGTAGTAAGAGACAGGTATATATTATGAGAAGGACACAACACAATCGGATGGACGCGTTTGGTCGAGAGACTTCTTCAACACCCGTTCAGAAATATTTAGTGCAATTGTATCACTTTCATTTCTGAAGGGGTGTTGAAAAAGTCTCTTGACGAAACGCGTCCATCCGAATGTGTTGTGTCCGTCTCATAGTATATAACTAGATACATTTTCTCGTGCTAGAAGCAGATATTTATCTATTTGCTTTCTGAAAACTTTTGCAGCTTCTTGTCCTTCTCAAAACTTTGTTTAACTTTACGCTATTTGAAGGTGCTATGTGCTGTTTTTGTCATGCCTGCAATTAAAGATGATTAAAATTGTTTTGATGCAGCAAGATCTTCATTCTATGTTGACGCACCTCCACTCTTTTTCCAGTACATCGGCCACTGGTACGAGATCCAGAAGTACCCGTTGTTTGGCGAGAGCAGCGACACATGCGGCCAGGCCAACTACACCGCCGAGGCCGACGGCTCCATCAGTCTGGTGAACCGCGGCATCAAACCGGACGGCTCCCTGGACTTCATCACCGGCACGGCGGTGGCCAAGGACCCGGCGCACCCAGCCGAGCTGACCGTCCACTTCGACCAGGGCTCGGTCGGCGCCTACAACGTGATTCGTACCGACTACACCGCTTCGGCGCTGGTCTACTCCTGCGTGAACATACTCGGTATCAAGTTCGAGTACGCCTGGTTCCTGTCGCGTGAGCCCACCATGGATCAGGCGGTGCAGGACGAGTATATCAAGATTCTGGCTGATGCCGGGTCGGACATCAGTAGGCTAGAGGTGACGCTACAGAACTGTGGCAACCTCTTCTGACCTGGCTCTGAAGGGAATAGTTAATAGGGAGAGTTTACTGCTAATGATGTGAAGGGTAGGGCACTGGCAGCCCCCATTTGTTGAAATGGCAATATCATCTCGGTTTCCTGTCCAACAGGCGTGGACTGTGAAGTGCTTGAATAACTATCGTGCTGTCAGTGCAACTGACATGATCGTCTTTGTGATGTGCAAATTTGATAAATATACACATAATTGTATTGTGATTTTTATCGACTTGTTACTATGCCTATATGCTATTGGGGACACGATAAACAGAAACCTGAGATGAAAATGGGCAAGCCAAAAGAGCAGATTATTGTCCTTGGCAAGAATTTGGCCATAACTCAAATATAGGTGAGGAGACGAAGTAAAAGTGAACTTAGGCGCCATGAATAGGTTAAGTTGCAATAGAGATCAGGAGGCAGCTATAGTGGTTTGCAAAAAGGATAACTCGATAAATATCAGATATAAGAGGTATTTTCTTCAACAGTCGTTTTTTTTTCTTGTTGAGTTTAACCCGCGCACCGACGGGGGTCTGCGCCAACTTCGCACCGACGGGGGGGGGGGGCGGATGACCGCCCCCCTGAGATCTCGAGAACGAAGCAAGATAGCGACAAGCGGTAAACGGCATCGGATACGTTCGGTCAAGATCTACAATTTTTACAAAGGTCATTTTCAGGTCAGGTCAAAGATGACGTCACAGGGGTCGAAAAAGTCAAAATGGCGGTGCTGGATATGGAGAGAGTTTTTCTCGAATAACTTTTGAATTAGTCAAGATAGGAACAAACTAAGGGCAGCATCGTGATCCTCTCGTCAATCCGCTTCGATTGATATATATATGTTGACCTCGAAAGGTCAAGGTCAAAGGTTGACCTCAGGTCACGTGACCTCGAGGTCATCATGTATATCATTCGATGCGTCTTGACGAGCTGAACACAATGAGACCATCCACGCGTCTGTATCTTGTTCCTGTACGGAGTTATTGGCCAAAAACCTTTGGTGACCTTTGATGACGTCACATGACCTCACAGCTGCCCAACAGCAAAACAGACCTCAAGGTAGTGAAGGTTGATCGTATATGAAGTCATGTATGGTATATGGGGCCATTCCGACCCGTTTTAGTGGTAAAAACAGGGAGTTGATTTTCCCCCATTGACTTATAATGGGGAGGTCGCGAAATTGACCTGACCTTAGGTCACCGATATCAAAATTCCGAGATAAACAAATTGTAGCTACTAATGACCTAATAACATCCTGCGACTTTCAAAGGCCTCCAACATCTACTGTAGCTCTGGCACGGTGACAAAGTTGCAAAAAAGTGACTTGAGGTTGGGTCATTCAAAGTGACCTGGTGACCTGACCTTGAAAGGTAGGAGATTCAAACTTGCACACCATGTGTAAAATTGATGAGGGAATAGTCATACCAAATTTCGCGGCGCTACGCGCCGCGATTTTCCCGCTATTCGCGAAAAACTTCAGGGGGGGCGGATATCCGCCCCCCCCGTCGGTGCGCGGGTTAAAGCCATACTAATGTCGACAAGTCTGACCGAAGCACGAAGCATGAAGCAGTTGCTCTACAAAAAAATGAAGAATCAGTTGAATGGCTCTTTTTCTCTAACAATAAGCCCAGAGTTCTAGGGAAGGTCTGGCTCCTTTTCTATTTTGGTTAGACAAAGTGGCTACATAGGCGGCAGTCGGCACCTCAGCGCTAGCTGCCTGCGCGCTGACAAGACGACGGTGGCTGCAGTGGCTGGTCCGACAAAGACGACGCGCAGATGAAAAACCACGAAGTGCTTGCCGACGAAAAGTTTAGCGAATAAAGGCTAACATCCGATCTGCTGAGCCCTCAAAAGTTACTCTGTGGTTGGGTTTACTGTAGTCGCTTGAAATTTCCGACAATTTCTGAATGTCATCGGGCTCCAAAGGTGTGAATGTTGTCCATCTTCATCTGTCCATAGACAAATTTACGAGCGGCACATAGTCATACCTACTCTGGATCGAGGCGACCTAGCTGCAAAACATTTGTCAAACAGCAGTACGGAGCTCACGCCCACTACGACAAACGCATCCAAACCAAGCAGGCAGAGCCGCAGAGGAATTCGGCGAGTCAGATCATCACTTCTGGTGGGAGGAGATGTCGTTGGCTCAGTCGCTGCACTTCTCCTGCATGGTTACAGTGAATGGAGATTTTTGCAAGATCGTCCTATCAGCCTGTCGGCTTTTGTCCCATAAGGCTGGAGTCGCTCAGGGCTTGGTTTTTGGTGTTGCGGGAGAAGTTCATGTGGTAGTTATCATCAAGATAACTAAGGGCTTCTGCACTTCCGCCTCGATGTCTTACCCCATTGTTGGCTGTTTCGTTTCTACTTATGATTTGGTTGTGATATTTGTGGTTTGAATGTGTGGGTAAAAAGATGGACGCCTCAACAAACTCAAGGAACACAAAAGCGACATTTAATAAAATATATTTCACAGATCATTGAATGAGAAACAAGATCACTCTTTACTTACACCTACGTGTTGTACCCATGGAAAAAGCATTCCGTGCATCACCACCGTTTTATGCCACTATCCCTCCCCTTCCCAATACCCCTCCGTTCCCCTCTGATACAGCTCAGAAGAGACTGCCGCAGTCCTGCGGCGTCACCGACAGCTGGCTGGTGTCCGAGCCGGCGTCAGCCAGGATCCGAGTGTACTCGTCCTGAACCGCCTGGTCCATCGTGGGCTCACGCGACAGGAACCAGGCGTACTCGATCCTGGCGCCGAACAGGTTTGTGCAGGAGTAAACCAGCGCAGAGGCGTTGTAGTCGGTACGGATCACGTTGTACGAGCCCTGGAAGCCCTCGTCGAAGAGCAGGGTGAGCGCGGCCGGGTGCTCGGGGTCCTCGGCGTAGGCCGATCCGGTGATGGAGTCCAGCGATCCATCAGAGCGCCGGCCGCGGTTCTCCAGACGCACGGAGCCGTCCGGCTGGGCCACGTACATGGCCTGCGCGCACGTGGAGCCCAGCTCCGAGATGAGCGGGTACCGCTGGATCTCGTACCACTGGCCGGCGTACTGAAACGGGTGTGGAGGGACCGTCAGACGCCTTCCTGCAGTTCAGAGCAACTCACCGAACAAGGATTGCAACCGTGCTGCCGACAACGCTTAAAACTCGTGAGTTTCAGGAGTACCTTCTTTCACATCCCACCACTAAAATGTTACGGAATTCCAATAAGACGATATAAATTTTTTGCTTTTTACACTTAGGTACTAGTTATTTTGAGAAAAAAGATCTTACATACCTAGCGGCAAATAAATCTTCTGGTTGTGTATGCTCCGAGAGAATCGATGGCGAAATGGAACGCAATAGAATGCGTCATGAATTTCTAAGGATAAAACGGTTTAATGTCTCTAACGACATAGGTAAAGCTGTGATTGAAGTAAGCTATTGTGCAGTTACTTTAGCGTATTTCGTCGGTCTAAGCACAGTTCGCAACTCAAGCCTGTTATACTAACCTGAGGAACGTCGAACACCTCCAGGGAGGGGATGTCGGGACAGGCGGCCATCCCGGAGGCCACCAGGCCGCAGACGGTCAGCAGGGTGGACAGCATGGTGAACGTGAACCTGTTGGAGCGGGAGCAGAGGGCGCAGTGCGGCTCCGGCGGCGGCGGCCTCCTTTATACGACCATCTCACCAAGAGATAGATACACGCAGTTTATGTAACACTTCACGCAGATTGTGAACGTCGGAAAAAACCTTGCGTAACTCATAAGATATATTATATAGGAAGCAATCTTGGGCTTTTTCAAATACCAATAACAAATGGACTTCAGCGTTTGTAGCCCATGTATGGGCACGACTCATGGTGACACGGACGGAAATAAACCGCATATAGGTTTGCGATGCTTGACGATAGTGTTTTGAGCTATATGGTCTAGAATTGCTAAAAACTGAATTTGAAAATTTCACGTCATCAATTTTTAACAGTTTTTTTTCGCTATACCTAACTTGGCAAAAAAGAGGTATCGATAAAAAAATTGATATGTGAATAGAAGTCGGTAGGGGCTATCACATATATTTCGTTGTTTCGAAACTCGAGAACTTTAGTCGATTTTTGGCGGTTGTATTAAAACAATGTTTCTTTGATTTTTGGGGGTCAAAATAAAAAAATCAGAATTTTGACATTACAGTTTAATAGCATAGTAATTCTACACCTTTTCTGTCTTCAACATTTTTCTGCATCTTTAAAGCTATAGGCCTGACAGCTCTTCCCGCGAAACCTTTTTTTTGTCGAAAACGGGAGAACATGACGTCACTCTGACATCATTTGCGACGGACCTATCATAGCCTTTGGAAAATTTTTAGTCACCATGTGCAAAATTGATGCCCAGGAGCGTACTGAAAGTTTGATGACGATCGGTGCAGTGGTTCTGGTATGTATCAAAAAGTCTGGAGGGGGCAAAAAATAGCCCCCCTCCCCACCAGAGCGCGGGTTAAAGAGCAGCTAAAAGCTCCATATGATTTTGCATTTATCATAAAACCCTGGAGCGACGTAAAATGATGACTTGTTTTTTTTTTAACCCGCGCCCCTTAGGGGGGCCGAAACGTTCCCCCTGTCCTTTTCCGTATATATCTCCTAAACGACTGCAGATATCGTCACCAAATTTTCAGGACCTCTCCGGGCATCAATTTTACACATTGTGACCATTTTTTTTTTCTAGAAGCCTATAAAAGGTTGACTGCAAATGACATCAGAATGATGTCATGTTCTGCCAGTAGCGGCGGAACACCTTCAATTAACCCTCGCCCGGACATGGGGGGGGGGGTTGCCACCCCCCCCAGGTAGTCTTTCTGCTCTGCACTCAATTTTTTTTTAGCTAGAAGCCTGATTTTTCGTATAGCTGCTCCTCTGTCCTTTCTTGATGTCCACTGAAAATTTCAAGTTTCTGTGGTTTTTGGTTTCGGAGATATGACACTGTTTTCAGGTCATGTCATGACCCAAATGACCAATTCTCAGCATTTTGCGTTGGCTATGGGCCTTGTGAGCTTTTGACACCTTGCTTTCGGCCTTTTTTGCCAGTATTACCTCCCACCTACCATGGAACATGTTGTTCGACGATGCACAGATGTCAAGGTCAGGGTCAAGGTCGACCTAGGTGATCTAAAATAATTGCGTTTTAGGCAAGCTGAATGTATTTGTCATGTAAAATGGACCATAAAACATGCATTGCATGGCATGTATCACACGACACTTTCGTATTGTGACCCTCAGTGACCTGACCTCTGTGACCTGACGTGGTACCAATGACCTCAAATAGCAAAATATGTGTTTTATGGACGATTCTCCCATCGATGATTTTCAATGACATGTCTTTTACTCGATTTTAAAACACATTTCTTGAAATGCCTGTAAACGGTGAAAATTCGACACTTGACCTGACCTGTGACGTCATCGGTTGGACCGAGGTCAATAAAATTGGGTCACAAGGTAGTTCTGTGGTAGGGCTATTGAATTTGGAAAATCGGTCCGTAACGTTCCGAAATCTTGGGGGGGGGTCGAAACGCCCCCCCCCCCTCGACGGGTGGTAGGGTCCGCCGAATGCCCTACGGGGCGCGGGTCCGAGCGACTCCAGGCACTGTCAAAAGCTGAAATGTAAAATGGAATGAAAAATGAAAATAAATTACACACGATCACTGTCCTCCCAAGCTTCCTGAGAAGGAACACGTCTATAGAGCTGGTGCCATACACCATTACATAACAAAAGGCCAGGCCACGGTCCGCCTATCGTGACTGCAGGTGTGCTTTCCCACTGCACCGTGAGCTCAGCTAGGGGTATCGGGGACGGCCAGATGCTGTTTTCTTATATCGTTTAGGAGATGATTCGGGGACCTGGGACGTTCTTATGTAAGAGTGGCGCTTGTGTAACTCGGTCACGCCATTATATAATTCGTCTATGACATTAAAAGCCTTAACCCTCGCCCGTAAACGGCGATCTGCCACCTTCGCCCATGCAGGGGGGGGGGTTGGTGCGACCCCCCCTTGGCGTTTGAAAACGGAGCGTCGTAGAGCTTAGCGGAAAAGACCAACGGATTGCTCTCGCCGAGATCTCGCGATTGGTGGTATATTTTTTGGTCCTAGGTCAACATTTGACCTACTTTTGACCGGTCAAAGGTCAAATTTTCGGAAAAATAGACTTTTTCAAATTTTCCGCGGCGATTGCGGCAAAACGGTGGGAGATATCGACTTGAAACCTTCACTATCGTGTTCCTTGATCAATTCTCTATCGTTTGGTATGTATTTCGTTTCCCTAGCTCTAAAAATGGCGCGTTGGGAGCGCCGGATGTTGGCAAGGTCACAGTCGGCGGCAGAAATTCGAAAAATCAAAATTTAAATTTTTGAAATCTGATTGTATTTTTGGATTTGGGATGTCCATTTGCTCCCTATAGAAGCTAATATTGCTGCATATTCCCATTGAGGTGACAAGAATTAGCAAAATAGTGGTTCGGGCGCTTTTCAAAAATAGTACCGGACGCTGTTCCTCTTGTGACGTCATAGCTCCGTGACCTGACCTGACCCGGTCAAGTTTCTTATACCATATGATAGCCAATACTTGCCCCAACATGCATGGGAAGTTTCATCACGATCCATCAACCGATGTCCGTACCACCGGCAGGAAACCTCGGGCGTTGGCACTCAGTTTGTGAAAATCCGGCCGGAGGCTGTTCCCTTTGTGACGTCATAACTCCGTGACCTGACATGACCCGGTCAATTTTTTTTTATCAAAAGATGCGCAAGGTTTGCCCCATAAGGTACCCAAAATTTGGCGGCGCTGCGCGCCGCCGTTTTTGCACTATTTCCGAAAAACCTCAGGGGGGGGGTTGCACCAACCCCCCCCCCTACATGGGCGAGGGTTAATCCTATTTCCGACAACAATATGTGATCAAAAGTAGACTTAAATAACATTAAGTATTTAAATGCTAATCGACAAAGAAAAGACACCTATATGCATTGCCGTTAAATTTCTTTAAGAAAAAAAACTGATTTCCGAGAACCCTTATCATCCTAGTTGGCATATTCATAGTCATCTTTGAAATTCGGAATGACGAGGTGTTAATGTATCACGAGGGAGTGTATTCCTTGTTCACCGTTCTGTGCTTGATAATCGAAGTGCATCCAGTGAAACTGTATCCAACTCATGCTCATCAACAAATGCAACTCATAATACAAGCCCAGCAACCATTACAGTACCTAACATAATCCTTTACAGCCAGTAGGTAACGTGCATGGTTAGCTTCACGCCATTGACTGTGACAATGCCACCGGCCATGCTACTTGCTTGCCTTCAAACGTAACATTGCTATGATTATTACGTTCAAATGCGGTACGTTTCAATAACCGGAAGTAGATCATTTCCAGTACGAAAATGCACACACTACATCCGGCAGCCAACGGAACAATGAACAACACTGCCGTCACATCTTCCAGTGACATCTCCTTGAAGGCGCTGGAGACGGTGCACAGTCCCTGGCCGGCGTTCAGCCACTTCCTCTTGAGGCGCGACACGGTGCCGGCCTGGTTCAGCACCTGCATCACCCTGTTGATGGCATCCAGCAGCTCCGTCCTGCCCTTGGCCATCACCATGTAGTCGTTGGACTTCCTGGGCAGCTGGTCAAGCAGCGGCACCAGCGCGCACGCGTCCGAGCCGAGCGCGAAGAACATGCGGCGCACGTCGATGTAGGTGAGGACGCGCGGCTGGAGCGAGCGGCGGGCCGTGGTGGCCACGTCGAGCCGAATGTGGCCGCGGCCGGTGACTGTGCGCCGGTGCAGCTCTCGCTCGTACGGGTCGGCGCTGACCTGCCATGTCGTTCAGAACTCCCATACCGGGCTCGATCGAGAACAGCCAGCCGGGCTGTTCGGAGAACTCCCTCAGACTGCTGATGGGCCGGCCCACAGTGGTGACGGTCAGGTGCGAGATCAAGTTGGCCGTGTAGTTGAAGTAGATGAGCATGCCGAGCACCCAGCTGGAGAGGGTGACCGTGCGGCCGGACAGCGAGCGGGGCGTGCTGGCCCAACCCTGGCTCACCAGAGTCATGAAGGTGGCCAGTGTGTGGATGTCAGACTGTGTCGTCATTCCCGCGTCCCTTTGTGTCGGGGCGCGGCCCCGCGCGGACTGCGCGTGCGCGGCCTGCGCGCGCGCGCTGACCCGGCGAGGGTCAGTCGGTGTCGGGGACGCGGCCGGGGTGCGGCTCCGCTGGAGTGCAATATAGACGTCGGTGCAAGACATCTGTGTGTCGAGCGGCAGCGCGCGAGAGCATCACATGGCGCGGTCGGTTATCGACCTACTGTGGTGATCAAGTCGGCAACAATGAGTCAGGAAGGTGTAGACAAGTTGACGGCTCTGCTCGTCAAGCAGGCCGAGATGGCCGCAGCCGCCCAGGAGCAGGCGTCTCAACGGGAACAACGTCTCGCGGGGATGGTCGAGCGACTACTGCAGGATCGCCCGTCGGAATCACCCAGGGAGGTAGCGACTACTGGTAATGTACCCAGTCACGCCTCTGTCAGCAAGCCGTTGGTCAGTGCCCCATATTTGAACTCCTCCGTGTCACTGCGAGAGTTCGATGCGTGGCGGCAAAAATTTGAAGGGTACTCGCTGCTGGCTCGTGTGTCGCTGCTTCCCCCCGCCGAGCAGCGGGCTGCTTTGTTAGCCGTTGTAAGCGATGATTGGACTCGGATAATCCGGTATAACCTTTCTATCTCAACAGAAGCTAGCCTGAGTGACGTCATCAAGGCAATGGAGGAGTACCTTCGGGGGCAGCGAAACGTCATCGTGGACAGACGGGATTTCTACCGCCGCAACCAGGAGCCCGGTGAGACGTTTGATGACTTCCTGTGTGCTATCAAAGAGATCGCGGGGTTTTGCGATTTTTGCACTTCGTGCCTGGATAATCGTTTGAGAGATCGTATCGTAACTGGGATTCAAAACGAAGATACCGTAAAACGCTTGCTTGAAGAGAAAAACCTGACGCTGCAAAAGGCCGTTGATATGTGTCGTGCTTGTGAAAATGCCTCCAGAGACAGCGTCGAAATTCGTGGCGCTTCCGCGCATTCCCTGTACAAGATGTCCCAGTACAAGCAGGACCAGAGAGGACGGAGAGGGCATGATCGCGCTCGCCCCTCTTCCCGGGAGCGGGAGAGGCACTCCGTCGACCGGCGGGTCACTCCATCCCCGGTGTCGCGGGAGCGGACCCGCTACCGCTCGCCATCGCCTGCGGTCAGATGTGACCGGTGCGGACGCCGGCCCCACCGGGACGTCAGCCTCTGTCCGGCGGTGAGTCGCAGGTGCAATGCGTGTGGATCGAAAGGTCATTTCGCTAATGTATGCCGCCAGGACGCTGCCATCAGTCAAGTGCGTCACTCTCATCAGCCTCGTCTGAGATCGGACTCGCGGCGCACTCGCGACATCAGCCCGACCGGCCACAGCCCGAGGCGCTCTCGCGACGTCAGCCCGACCGGCCACTACCTGCATCCTGTGATCGCGAGCGTGTGGCGCGGCACCCACGCGCGCCCAGCCCCCGCTATCAAGGTACAGTTCTCGCATGCGGAGGGCGGGGGAACGCTGAAATGTACTGCTGACTCAGGGGCCGATGCCACAGTCATGGGACCAGAAGATGCTGCAGCGTTAGGGATCAATGTAAACTTGCTAGACCAAGCAGCGTGCGGTTCAAGCTTTTCAGCCGCGGGCCGTAAGGAACTGACGTGTTTGGGCAGTTTCCCGGCTCAACTGACGCTCGGGAAACGGGAAACAGATACGGTTGTGTCCGTTATAAAGGAGCTCAGTGGTCCCCTCATCAGCTGGTTCGACTCCATCGCGCTCGGTGTGCTACCGGCGGACTTCCCCGCCCAGATCGGGTCTGTCAAGAGAAGCAGGTCATGGGCGCCTGGTCGTGAGCGGGGAGTGTCCCCGTGCGCCGCAGGAGTGGCCGCACCGGGAAGAGATGAGACTTCTTCAGTCGCAGGACGCCCCGCCGCGATACCTGCGCCATCTGTGAGTGAAAGGGACGAGGTGCTGCCATCTGCCGTCAACCGGGAAGTTCGACCGGTGTCCCGGGAGCCGGCTGCTCGCCCGGAGCCGCCGCGCGCTTGTCCGGAGCCACAAGCTGCTCGCCCTGAGCCGCGCGCTCGTCCGGAGTCGCCGACTGTTCGTCCTGAGCGGTTGGGTTATCGTCCGGCGCCGCCGGCGACCCGGACGGTTTCTGCCGCTGATCGGTCGGGGATGCCTGCTGTGCCGGGGGCCGTCGTCAGCGCACCGGTGGATCATGCAGGTGAGAGACCGCATGTGCGGCCTGGGGACCCAGCGGTAGCACTTCCTATTTGGCCTCACGATTATGACCCCACCGAACAGCAGCGAGCCGAGCATGCTGCCGCTATCACGGCGGCATACCCTGGGGTCTTTGGTCAGTCGGGCACATTGAGAGCGATGGCAGGTGAGCCCATGCGCATTGAACTGTCTGCCGATGCCTGCCCACGCGCTGTGACTGCCGCTCGCGCCATACCGTACAGCTGGCGCGATGAAATCAAGGCTCAACTCGATGACCTTCTTTCTCAGGATATCATCGCACCTGTGAACTACCCAACGGCGTGGTGTCACCCGATCGTGCCCATCGCAAAGAAGCCGTCGGGGGTCCGACTCTGTGTCGACTTGGTCCAGCTGAACAAGTATGTACTTCGTCCAACGTACCCTGTACGTGCCCCGCATGATGCCATAGCTACGATTGGTACAGGGGCATGTTGGTTAACTACGTTGGACGCAAAGATGGGCTATTTTCAAGTGGAGATCGCGGAAGAATGTCAGGATATGACGTGCTTCATCACCCCCTGGGGGCGCTTCAAGTTCAAGAGGGCTGTAATGGGTCTGGTTAGCTCGGGCGACGAGTACAACCGCAGGGGTGACCAGGCGCTAGGGGATATCCCGCAGACGGTTAAGATCGTAGACGACATCCTCATTTATGACCGCAGCTATCGCGAACATTTGGAGCACGTCATTGCCGTCGTGAAACGCTGTGACGAGTGGGGGATAACGCTCAACCCCAAGAAGTTCAGGTTCGGTCGAGCTAGGGTGGAGTACTGCGGGTACGTCATCTCATCCAGCGGGTACACTTCAGACGATCAAAAGATCAGAGCTATCGCAAGCTTCCCGCGACCCCAAAGCATCACCGATCTGCGTTCCTTCATGGGACTAACTAACCAGCTGGGTGTGTTTTCCAGTGACCTGGCCCACGCAGCGCAGCCGTTGAGAGATCTGCTGAAACCGAGGAACGTCTGGAGGTGGACGGAGCAGCATGAAGCAGCGTTCGAGGAGGTGAAGGCGGCGCTGGTGTCGCCGCCCATCCTCGCCTTCTTCGATCCAGCTCTTCCGACAAAGCTGCAGACGGACGCCTCGCGGACGAAAGGCATGGGCTTCGCTCTGCTACAGCGGCACGATGACGATTGGAGGCTGGTACAGTGCGGCTCCCGCTTCTTGACTGATGCAGAAACAAGGTACGCCGTATGCGAGCTCGAGATGGGGGCCTGTGTATGGGCGTGTCACAAGTGCAGGACGTATCTGGCCGGTTTGCCGCAGTTCGATATAGTGGTGGATCACCGCCCTCTAGTGCCGATTTTGAACAGTAAGGGCCTAAGCCAAATTGAGAACCCGCGGCTTCAACGTATGCGGGAGAAACTACTGGGGTATAGCTTTCGAGCTAGTTGGCAGAAAGGTGCGTCTCATCAGATTCCGGACGCTTTGTCAAGATCCCCTGTGGACCAGCCCACTCCGGATGACGAAGTGGTTGATGACTCACCTGATCCTCTTCACGCAGCAGTCGTCATCGGTCTGAGCAGTTTGACGGAGGGTGGCGTCCGGCTCGCACCTCTGCAGGACGACACGCTGGAGAAGATCCGGGCGGCCTCTGTTCGGGATCCGGAGTACGGAGCACTCATGGACGTCATCAAATCCGGATTCCCGGACCATCGGCAGGAGCTGCGTCCTGATCTGCGCGCATATTGGGGTGTTCGTTCTATGCTCGCTATCGATGACGGTTTCATCGTGTACGGTGCCCGTTTGCTCATACCGCAGGGACTGCGCCGCGAGACACTACTGCGGCTGCATGATGGGCATCAGGGAGTCGAGAGAACCAAGCGACGAGCCCGCCAAACCGTCTACTGGCCCGGGATAGACAACGATGTCGAGAATGTCGTCTCCTCCTGCCCGAGGTGCCGTCAGCTACTGCCTAGTCATCCCAGCGAGCCTCTGTGGCAGAACGACGCCCCACCGTCCCTGGTATTTGAATCGGTCTCAGCAGATTACTTTCATGTGGCTGGTCGCACATATTTGGTGTATGTCGATCGTTTGTCTGGATGGCCGTATGTCAGTTCGTGCCCGCGTGGAGCAGCGTCGGCGGAACACCTGACTAAAGCGTTGCGTTCGGTGTTCGCAGACACGGGAGTGCCAAAGCTTCTAAGAACGGACGGCGGGCCCCAGTTTACGTCTTCAACTGTACGGCGGTTCCTAGCGCGTTGGGGTGTGAGGCATGAGCTGTCATCACCCTATCATCCCAGGTCGAACGGGCACGCAGAGGCGGCGGTAAAGGCGGTGAAGCGGCTCATCCTGACGGCAACGACGGGCGGTCAGCTGGATGACGACGAATTCGCCAGAGCGCTGCTGGAGCTGCGCAATACTCCAAGAGCGGACGGTCGGTCGCCAGCACAAGTGCTGTTCGGCCACCCGCTGCGGTCGTCGATCCCGGCTCATCATCGCTCGTTCGCGGCGGAGTGGCAGAGGGCAGCCGACGAGAGTGACAGGAAGGCGGAGGAGCTACGGAGGCAGGCGAAGGAGCGGTACGACAGAACGGCACGCCCCCTCTCAGCATTGCAAGTCGGGACTCACGTGGACGTGCAGGATACTGCAAGCGGGCGCTGGGACCGGCTGGGGGTCGTCGTCGGAGTCGGCGCTAGGCGTAGCTATCTGGTAAAGCTGGGGAGCGGGCGGATACTGTGGAGAAACAGACGCTACCTGCGGCGCCACCGGCCTCTGGTTGAGGCAACGCAGGGTGGCCTCAAGGAGTCTGTCGTCGCGGGGCCCGTGAAACCAGTGAACCACGATGCGGAGCCTCAGAGGATGCTGCCTCGTCGAAGCGGTCGGGCTCGTCGGGAGCCCAACCGCTTGTCGGTTCGGTGGGGATCTGCTACGTACGTTGATTGAATGAGACGCCCGGTGCCGTCGCCTCTTCTGCTAGTTGCTGTATTTATTGCGGGTATCTGTTTTGTGTCGCGTGCGTCGCGGTGCGTCGCGTTCCTATGCATCTTGCGGCAACTAATTTAGGTCGTTGTCTGTTGTTCACGCTCGGCGACGGGGGCACGGGTCGTCTGGGGGGAGGTGTGTGGATGTCAGACTGTGTCGTCATTCCCGCGTCCCTTTGTGTCGGGGCGCGGCCCCGCGCGGACTGCGCGTGCGCGGCCTGCGCGCGCGCGCTGACCCGGCGAGGGTCAGTCGGTGTCGGGGACGCGGCCGGGGTGCGGCTCCGCTGGAGTGCAATATAGACGTCGGTGCAAGACATCTGTGTGTCGAGCGGCAGCGCGCGAGAGCATCACAGCCAGCAGGCACGAACTCCAGCCCATGTGAGACGCGGTGCGGGGCCTTTCCGCACGGCGGTAGGCCAGACGCAGCGCCGCCGAGATCACTAGCAGAGAAGCCGCCACCGTCCACCAGACATGCCAGTGTAGCGGCTGCAGCAGCGAGCTGAACATAGCCGGCGACAGTTGCGGGGCTGCCGCAGTGCCCTTGGCTAAATAGAACGTGTACTGATCCTGGTCCACGGGCACGGCGTCGATGTAGTCGACCACAGAGGCGCGATCCTGCCGGAAGTGTACCCAGGTGAGGGCCAGGTCGGCGCGTCCGTAGGCCAGCTCGCCCACCAGGCCGCTCCAGGTGCCGTTCTGGTCCACACTGCCGTACCCTCCGTCCAGGAGTGGCACAGTTCGGTAGCGGAGGTCCAGCTCGCGCGCTATGATCTCCCACAGGTCGTGCAGGTAGCCGCTGTACTCATACGAGCCGTCCGACTGCCGGGTGATGATGAGGTACGGCGGGTCGTGGATGGCGGTAATGCGCAACACGTCTTCGGCGGAGGGGACGAAGGCCGCTTCGTTGGGCTCCGGCGGGGACCACCCGCCGCCCAGGGCCAGCAGGGTACCCAGACGCTGCATGACCGCTCTGCGGTGTGTCGCCACACTCTGCCGACTTTGTTATGCGCCGACCGGTCGGCCTCGGCCCGGGGTGGCACAAACTGTGTGCGATAGATAATAGCCAGCGTGGTAACAGACGTTCGATTGATTCTGCCAGGTGATGTGCATTGTTCGTCGCTGTCTATGTGCCTTTCAGAGCGTACACAAACGAGACAATACGTAGGCGTCTACCCAAAGCAGGCGTAACACGGCACCCGTCCCGATTCGTTTTTCCCTAACGAATATTCATAGAGCTATGAATAACAAATGACTCAAGGTATTTTGGTGCTGTCATCACCAACATCTAACAGGAAAAGGCTATCGTCCTACCTAGACAGACTCACTAATGTATGTGCTCATTTATCAGGCTTCTCAGACATTGCAACGATTAATTTCGCGGCTATTGACACACGTTAAGGAGCGACTAACAACTTTTTGTTGGATGTAACGTTGTGACATTTGACCGCTTTGTGGCTTTACAATCACCTTTTGACTGCACAACAAGCCACCTATTGGATCATAAACCAAGAAGTTTTGCCTATCGTTCAAAAACTGATGACAGCTGTTATGCATTAGGGGAAGGAGGGTGAATTGCGCCACCTTAAGGAAAAACGCTAATTGTAGAGAACCGCTGGAAATATAAGCACGCACTGGTAACCATTTCAAAGAGGAACTCATTGGCTACGATTTAAGAGCCTCCCAATCAATTAAGAATGTTTCGTTTGCTTCTGACAGCTGCTTTTTCAGAAACATGCAAAAGGGCGCATTTGCCAACAACTGCTGTAAATTGCGCCAGGGGGATGACGCAATTCGAACCCAATTGCGCCCTATACTTTAACATGGCTAAGTGAATGAGACGGAATGCATACACCGTGGCTGTCTAATGTCATTGCGGCTTACTTAAGCATTATAATGTTATTCAGGCTGGATAAATATTAAATGTAGATATAAATCGCGATGTTTTTTGCCCAGGTAGATAGCTTTACATGTGTCCGTACGCTTGTAAAAGTGCAACGAAAACGTTTACTGTAACCGACTATATATATGTGAACGTATGCGCCTATACAGTTAAATTTTCGATCGGTTCTCTCAAAATTAATAATTTTTATCGTTTTGACAACTTAATGACATCAGTTTTTACTTTTTTATCATAGCTGTCACTTCTCACGCCTGAGTCCATGTTGAAAATGTCGTATTTTGTCAATTACACCACAAGCCGTAGCCTAAATGGCAGCTGCATTATAAGTTTGACGAGAGAAATAATTTGCGGACTGACGACAGCGGGCTGCTCCCTTGCCTGACATTAAACTCCTTCTTTATTGCAATCAGTTAATGATGCATTCATACTGTCGTGATACAATGACTACACCATTATTCTATTTGCGCCCCCTGGCGCAACTGCCATGGGCGCAATTAAAATTGAGGTACTTTTTAATAAAAGCGTATGAAGTTGTCATAAAGATGTTGAAGGATGTTTACTGTTTCAGTGAAATAAATGAAAAAAGTTTTTTTTCTTTCTAAATATCACTCTGAAAATTACACAAACATCGCAAATTTTTATAGCCAACGGTTCAAAATACTGCAAAAAAGCTAAGAAAACGCCATAACATCTTTGATGGCGTAATGAGCCTTGCTGATTGGCTTCATCGGAGAGTTTGGGCCATAAAATGATCTATCCATGGTGAAAATAATGTTTTCGAACACAAAATTCTAAACATGCCATTGAATCCGTGGGGGTGTTGGTGGGCGCAATTGGTTAGGAGGGCGCAATACATCCACTTTCCCTCGATAGCTAAGCGGTGCGACCGGCGACTGACCTTACCAACAGGTGTCGCATTGGCAAAGAGAAGCCTCGGACAATCACCCTTTCCAGGACGAGCACAGTGACGCTAAGCACGGTCGCGAGAGGCAGGATCGAGAGGATGGGCAGCATGTCGCCGAAGGACATGTTTCTGAATGTGTCACCCCCTGAGCTACACATATCCGGACCCATCGAAAACCACTTCCTGTGCAGTCGGAGCAGGATGCCAGCCTCCGACAGCCTTTGCATCATGACGTTTAAAGCTCTCTTCAGTTTCTGGCGATTCTTGGCGACAATAAAATAGCTGGGCTTCATTTGAGCCGGACCGTCAAATACAGAAACGAGCTGGCATGCTTCATGTTTGAAATTGTAGAGGAACTTTGTAAAATCTCCGTATGTCATCATTTGTGGTCTTGTAATCCGATGGCTGGTGTTGGCGTAAGTCAAAGGGACGAAACGCTCTCCGGTTATTGTCAGTCGATACAGCTCTCGTTCGTAGACATTCTCGCTCGCCTTCCAGCTATTGAGGATGCCCGTGCCTGGCTCAATGGAAAAGACCCATTCAGGCTGAGCGAAGAACTCCTGTAGATTGCTGATGGGTTTGGGTACGGTCGTCCACGTCAAGTAGGAGATCAGGATGGCCGTGTAGTTTTGATAGATGAGCACACCGAGCAGCCAACCGGAGAGCACCGCCGTCCGCGCGGCCAGCGATTCCGGGGTCCTCACCCAGCTCTGGCTAACCAGCGTCATGAAGCTAGAGAGAAGACATGAGCCCCAGTTCATCTCCCTTAGCGTCTGCGCCGACTCAGCTCTGACGTGGTTGAAACGCACTGCAGCCCAGACGACGACCGCCACCAGCATCAGAGCGCAGAGCAGCAGCCACCAGACGTCCCGATGCAGCGGCTTCAGCAGCGAGCTGAACATGCCGAATGAGACCGCCGGTGCGCCTGTCGACCCACCTCGAGGAACGTAGAACCTGTCCTCAGTGACGGCCATCGGCACGGCGTCGACGTAGTCGATGACCTGGGCGCGGTCCTGCTGGAAGTAGTAGCCCGCTATGGACAGGTCGGCGCGGCCGGCCACCAGCTCCCCAATCATGCCGGTCCACGTGTCGTTGGCGCCGAGGCTGCCGAAGCCGCCGTGGGACAGAGGAGTGATTCGATACCTGAGCTCGAGCTGGTCGACCACGATCGTCCAGATGTCGAACAGGAAGCCGCTGAAGCTGAACGAGCCGTTCGCCAGTCGTTCAATGATGAAGTACGGAGGACTGTGGATGGCCGGCATCCGGAGCTCTTCCATTCCAAGGTCCTCGCTGGAGTCCTCCGCTGGCTCCACAGGCCAGGCTCCTCCCACCGAGAGCAGAGCACCAGCGCGAGTCATTATCTGGACAGGAAAGTAGGCTTATTCGCTGACTGGGACTTTTTGCAACGAGTTCTTTAATCTTAAGGTAGGAGGTGGAAAGTTGTGAGGACCAGTGACCCGTCCCGCTGGGCATTCAGCGGCACACTGACTACTCTGGCCGAATTCTGCTTGGCCGACCAATCGATTATTCCAGCGTAGTAATATGCACGCATTTTTAATACTATTGTCTGGCTGTCAAAGCACAGATGTGAAATTATAATGAGCACGCAGGTCTGTAACAAAAGTTATTGATCCGTTATTAATTAACAATAGCTAGGGTCTTTTTACCTAAGCGTCGAATGAAGACAGACTGGTGTACTTACCATCGATCCATGTATTATCATGTATAGAAAGGTATATGCATCGATGGTAATGTTTTCTCTTGTTATATCTTTTTTTTTTTTGTCCGCTGGCAAGAACCTCTTTCTGTTTGTTTTCAGGGGCGCAGCCAGAACTCTGGCGACAAGGGTGAGAGACGTTCGCGAGGTCCACAGCAAAGTGTCCCCCCCCCCCCTCAAACAAAGTGGACCCTCTACCAACGACAAAAACGGTTGCTGTTTTGCTGAATGTTCTTGGAAAATCCCAAAACCATTTTGATAATGATTGAACATAGAATTCTGATTGGGAACGTTGACACTGTGACCTGTGGTCGGGTCAGATTTTTTACCTTAGCACTATGAGGCAAATAGGGGAAAGTACAATTGTCTGGAACGTGTTGAGGTCATCAATACCGATTGGTTGATATGCAGCGTGCTCTTTTTCAGTCACGCTATGACTTTGACCTGAGGTCAAAATTTTGAAGTTGAGCTTTTCAGGTGAAATCGATGCATCTGGACGAGAAAACGATGGTGGCAAAATAATGTCATGTAACTAGTTTTTGACACCAAAGTTGTTTCAACTTTTTGTCACAATTATGTCGACAAAATTCTTCTATTTGGTGGTGTTTGCTCTCTGAGCCAAACAGTTGACATGAGGTGAAATCTAATGACATGTAAGAGAAAGTGCTTTGAAAGACCTATTGAATTCGTTTTTCTGCGAATATCTATAGCTCCTTTGGTTCACGAGTATAAGGTAGGTACCGCTATTTGTGAAAATATCAAGAACAGGACTTAATTCGTCATACTCTTATCTCTGGTGACTTCAAGTGACGTCAGCGATAATCTAATCGAAAAATGACCTCTGAAACATAACTGAAGCGATTTCTGCGCCTACCGCTTGTCGCTACGTGACCCAGGAGCCAAGTTAGAAGGGGATGTTAGAAATCCCCCTCCCCAAGGGGCGTGGAATTGGAAAGCCTGAAGCCCCAGCGAGGTGCGGGCTAGCTAGGGGCCGGTTTGAAGTTTTCCAAAGCCCACGTAAAGCCCTCAAGAGTCTGCATAGTGCACGGGCCCTCCAAGGCTCGGGGGTTCAGATATCGATATGGTCTTTTGAGACCTGCGTGGCGGACATTAGAGGTCGGTGGTCTCCTCAAAGGCTGGTCCGGGACCATTAGGTGCTCGTTTGGGGCCATCATAGCCTGGCGCAGGGCTCTAATTAGTGAGTATGCGTGAAACCCCTAGACGTCGAGGTGGGGAGGTGGGGCCCTTAGAGGCCTGAAGACGAGTCTTCAGATGTCGGCTTGGCATCTAAGGGGCCTGCGTGGTTTTCTCAGAGGTCGACATAGGGCCCTGTGAGACCTGCATGGGGTTTCTTAGAGACTAGCGATTGCCCTTAGAGTCTGGTGTGGGGTAATCATGGACCCCAGGAGCCTTGGAACTAAAAGTCCTAAGAGAAAGTGTGGCTTCTCAAGGGTCTTCATGAAACACTAAGGACCTTTCTTGAGACCTTCAGGGGACTACATGGGTTTCCAAAACCTTTATCAGGTGCCATCATGGGCCTACGGGTACCTTCATGGATCTCAAAACCTTTATGGGGCCCTCAGGGAGGCCTTCTTAGGCCTTCAGGGACTTCATTAACTTTTCTGGAACCATAATGAGCTTTCTGGCTGGGGCCTTCATAGTGACCCTCAGGGACCTTGATGAGGCCCTCGATGACCTTCGTAAAATCCTCGGAACATTTGTTGGGCCCTCAAAAACCTTAATGGGACCCTCAGTGACCTCCATGGAGCCCTCAGAGACATTTGTGGGACTACCAGGGACCTTCATAAGGCCTTCAGGGACCTTCGTGATGCCTCAGGAGCCAATTGGGCCCTCAATGGCCTTAATGGGGCCATCAGAAACCTTCATGTGCGCTCAGGACTGAGGGATCTTCATGAGCAATCAGGGAACTTCTTGGGACCCTCAGGGACCCTCATAAGGCCCTAATGGACCTGCATAGGGCCCTCAGGGGGACCTTCAGGACCCTCAAGGATCTTCATAGGGCCCTCAGAGATATTCATGGGACCCTTTGGGACCTCTGTGGAGCCCTCACGGGGACCTTCAGGGACCCTCAGGGATCTTCATAGGGGTCTCAGGGGGACTTTCAGGGGCCCTCAAGGATCTTCATGGGACCATCAGGGGACCTTTCGGGGGCCTTGAAGCATCTTCATAGGACCCTGTGTGACATTCATGAGGCCCAAAGGGCCATGAATGGGACCTTCAGGGACATTCAGGAGCCCTCATAATATGACCTTCATGGACTTCATGAGACCCTCAAGAACCTTCATGGGGCCCTCTCAGACCGTTTTGAGACCTCAAGAGTCCATCGAACGCCACGGTGACAAACTTTAATGGTAGGTGCTAAAAATGTGTTTCCCATGTATGCAGTATTTATGTCATGATAGATCCAGGGCGGGCCCCATCACCTGAGGACGGGGCGAAATATCACATCTTTCAATCCCCAACCCCCCCTTCCGGCTGCGCTACTGTTTGTTTTATTTACAGAACACTTAACCCGCGCATCGACGGGGGGGGGGTGGATATCCGCCCCCTGAGGTTTTTTCGTAGTGGGAAAACCTCGGCGTTTAGCGCCGCGAAATTTTGTACGACTATTCTCTCATCAATTTTACACATGGTGAGCAAGTTTGAACCTCCTAACTTTTAATGTCAGGTCACCAGCTCACATTGAATGACCCAACCTCAAGTCACTTTTTTGCAGCTTTGTCACCGTGCCAGAGCTACAGCAGATGTCAAAGGCCTTTGAAAGTTGCAGGATATTATAAGGTCATTAGTAGCTACAATTTGTAAATCTCGGAATTTTGATATCGTTGACCTAAGGTCAGGTCAATTTCTCGACCTCCCCATTATAAGTCAATGGGGGAGAAATCAACTCCCTGTTTTTACCACTAAAACTGGTCGGAATGGCCCCATAAACCACACATGACTTCATATACGATCAAACCTCACTACCTTGAGGCCTGTTTTGCTGGTGGGCAGCTGTAAGGTCATGTGACGTCATCAAAGGTCACCAAAGGGTTTTTGCCAATAACTCCGTACAGGAACAAGATACAGCCGCGTGGATGGTCTCATTGTGTTCAGCTCGTCAAGACGCATCGAATGATATACATGATGACCTCGAGGTCACGTGACCTGAGGCCAACCTTTGACCTTGAACTTTCGAGGTCAATATATATATATATATATATATATATATATATATATATATATATATATATATATATATATATATCATTCGATGCGGATTGACGAGAGGATCACGATGATACCCTTAGTTAATCCCTCTCGGGACTAGTTCGAAAGTTATTCGAGAAAAACTCAATATCTAGCGCCGCCATCTGGAATTTTTTGACCCCTGTGACGTCATCTTTGACCTGACCTGAAAATGACCCTTGTAAAAATTGTAGACCTTATCCGTGCGTATCCCATGCCTTTTACTGCTTGTCGTTATCTTGCTTCGTTATCGAGATCTCAGGGGGGCGGTCATCCGCCCCCCCCCGTCGGTTCTAAGTTGGCGCAGACCCCCGTCAGTGCGTGGGTTAACATTAACAGTAACAAAACACGAGAAGAAATGGTATTTTATCACTGAAAACAAGTTGAAAGAACGTAATGCAAAAGCATCTTAAAATATTCCACACTTAGGTTTTTTGGGTATTAGGGTAAACTGGCTTAGAGGCGAAGCAGAACGTCTGGTTCATGAAGAACACACACAGTGTTTCACATAGACCGAAGACACGTGCTGCTTCTTCGCGTGCAGTCTTAGCGGCCCCAGGGGGCTTCAACTCGACCAACACCGGTTCTTCTTCGTTCTCCCTAAGTCACGTGATATTACGTCACACAAAGCGCGCGAAAGATAAACCCTTTGAAGGTTTTGCACGAACTAGCATCGGGTTTAAGAAGAAGGGGTTGTGGTTTAATCAGTGTAATGGCTTTCATCAAGACCACGCCCGCGGTACCACGTTCTATCGTCCACCGGAATCGATCGCCATTTTTCGATCGCGTTGGATCGCGCTTTGTGCAGTGACGAGCGGCTGGTGCAAGATTGGGTGAATGGCAAGTAATCGAATATTGAAGAACTGAAATAACGTTAGTTTTTGGCTTGTCAAGTGTTGTGTATTATTTATATTACTTGTGATTGACAATGATAAGCAATATCACAACGCTCTTCAAATGCATGGATGAATGCATTGGATGAAGAAAATTCATATGCAAGACCTATCAATGCAGTAAGTATTTATATGTTGTATAAATGCCACATAGCTTAAATTATGCATGTGGTATTTAGACAAATCTTCCAAATGAAGATAAATCAGGAATAGAATCAGCTTGCCATTTTGGGGTCAACTGAATTAGGTATAAATTTGGCTGATTTTAATAAACATATGTTCTTGCTGATTAGTGCAATATCTTATCTAGCTGCACTTTATATGTTAAGTGCATTATTTTATTTTTGGAGTTGGCTCATGGTCTCTGAAGTCAATCTAAGTTTCTTTACTCCCTGCCTGTTGAATAACGCATCCGCCCGACTCTTCGTTCTAGGGGACGAGGCCATATCCGCTCTGATTGAGGCCCTGGAGTCTGAGGAGAGCGTCCTGGCGCGCGGAG